ATAAAAATATATAAAACTTGGCGATTGTTCAACCTATTATTTAATTTTGATATTTTCGTCGCCGATGCGGTTTTAACTATATCTGATTTTCCGTTAACAACAATTTTTCTCGTACATTATGCAAACTGCTGAGACGAACCTAAATTTTCAACCTAAGTACTGATACGCATCGGACGTTTTAGTGAAATCATCCAATGTAATTCAATATATATATATACTTCGTCCCCATTTAATGTATCGTTAAAACTTTTCTTGTCTAATGGTCTCGTTTATATTCCTCTGACGTGTAATCGTATGCGTGTGTGCCTGCACGCCTTTGCATACACCTGGTTATTTATCGGGAGACTCAACTCCTATGATCAAAGGTTTATGTAATTACTGTCCTCGCATTTCTCTGTTTAAAAACTTTCGACTTGAAGGTTTCTCAAATTTCATTTTCTCTTCAGTTGGGTGAACAACCTAGCAACAACGTCTTTGGGTAAGAAGAAGATTTAGAACATCAAATGTCTGTTTCGATGTGCCCAACATACATTTGAACATAAAAAAAAATATTTTATTTTAAACGTTCGTGTAATTTTTCCTTCTGGAGGATGTTTTGTATATTGGTATAGCATCGAATTTACAAACTATCACTGATATTTTTGGTTAATGTTTCACAAGAATAAAAACAGAAATCACAATTATCAAAATTCACAAATATTGAGCTTATCAAACGAAAAATTGTTTCTGAGATAATATAGAAATAAGCTACATATTCTAATCTACAGAAATTTTAAACATTTTTTTTACATGTAAATTGCTTATATAACAGTGAACATTGACTTAACACAGCATGTGAAGTCAGTTAACCATAGTTCACAAAAAACTGCTGTCGATAGCAGACTACTGTTAGTCTGAATATCATTATATGCTGTTAACAAAACATGTGCCCTAAAACCTACATAAACCCAGGTTGTTATGATATAATATAATCGCACACTTTTTGATACATTTGTTTTAATGTGCTAAACATGATGATAATGACATAAACACATCCCGCGTTCTACGTGGAATTTCCTCTTATCAACTATAACAGGGTGGTACGACAGCAAAAGTCACGCGACGCTGGGAGCATGCGTGCTGGAGTTTCTAGAAGGATCATGAATTATCGAGGAACTCCGCGAATGTCCTAGTGTTTGCCAGGCGTCCGCTTTTTTAGTATATAAGCCTGGCGAGAAAACCCAGCGCAATGGCAGAGATAGATAGAGTGAAGAGATAGATAATTGAGTCAAGCGAACAGTAGGTAACGTAAGTAAAATGTGTGAATCACCGTGACTTATAGCGTTTGTTATAAAGAATGTTAAGTTTAAAGTGACTGTGGAAATTCTGTGTATTACAAAGTTGTATCGAGAAAGAATAAACTAGTTTTAATCAAGAAGGGACTTGTATCGCTGAAGTTTCTCGGAAATAATTTTTACCGGAAATTATCAAACAAGCAGTTACGCAACAAGGGTTTAGAAAATCGTTACTCCAGGTCGTGTGATTTCAAATAATCACTGGACATCTCTTGACCACTAGGCCTAACATAGATAAAGCTAACATGTGAAATATGCTGAGAAATTTCAATTTACGATTTAGTTACGTAGACAATTTGGGTTATTGACCAAAAGAGAGAGTCTCTAATAAACAGTAAATCTCTTGGTAACCCTGGCATGGGCAAGATTTTGGACCAAAGTATGAGGGGAACGTACTGTAGATCCAATTGTCCATGGTTCACGTCCCGTTTACGCAAAAAAGAAAAAAAATCACAGTCGGCATTTTGGTGTCATGAATGCGTAATATGGATAATGGTAAAAATAAAACTATTTTATTAGAGCAGTCCAAGAGTTGGTGGTAAGTACTGTTGAGAGGATGCATTCCTTGTAGTTTTAACAGTTCAAAATTATGGACGGCTATGTACAGATAACCCTTACGTAGCTTTGCGAGAATATCCAAACCAAACTATTAACATGTACGGTAGTCACAAATGTTTTTTTTTATTATTAGATACGAATAACGGTAATCTCATTGTGTAAGCTAAGTATTGTTCATCTCTCAATTTCTATTCCATACGCCGTAAAAAATCATCTAGACTCAAGAGACTAGGACGCACAGGACTAGGGGGCAAGGGGATACCAGGTTACGCTAACCACTGAACCACGCCCAGCTCACGTGCTAACGGAACTTGTATGTAAATTCAAGCTTTCTGTAGCAAAGTATCCTCATCGTCGTATTTATGTAAACGTTAATAATAAAGCATGTCTCAGTAAGAAACTGACAAACAATAGTTTGGTGAAAGTCCATTGCCTTTTGTAAAGTAGTTTTCCTCTATAAGATATTTTTCAATGCTAAACTAGTCAATATACACTGATAGAATGTCAGAAAGTCATGTTTACCATAGTTTCAGTTCCAATTGCAAGAACAGAAAGTGTAAAATTTTCATGAAGTACAAGCGTTATGTATTTCATGTTGAAGTTACAGCGTTCGAAAGTTGTTCGAAACAATAAAATTCAATCAATAGAGTATAAGTAAACTGCGGAACAGAAGGAATATTATGAATACAATAATTTCTTCTTCTAATTTTCACTTTCAGTGTCTTAGATTGTTCAGATTAACGGACTTTCATTAAGGGGCCCTGGAATGGCCTGGTGGTTAGGACACTCAACTTGCATTTTGCGGGTCACCGAACGTGCTCGACCTATCAGTCGTGGGTGCGTGATAATGTGACGGCCAATTCCACTATTCGTTAGTAAAGAGTAATCCAAGTGTTGGATGTAGATACCTTTCTTCTGGTCTATCACTTCAAAATTATGTACGGCTAGAGCAGATATCTCTTGAGTAGCTTTGCGCAAAATTCAACAGGGCAAACAAGATATGATTGATTAGGCCTCAACCAACGAAAGTCAGAACTTTTATCGTTGTTTCTACTTGGTGTGCAGGCTGTCCCAAATGTCATGAACATGTTGAAAATTGTTCTTAAACAAATCAAGGTCCCAATCAAGTAGACCTTAACAAAGAACCCTTACTTTGAGAGGACATTTCATCAACACTAAAACAACTTTTGGGACTTTCGTTGCATTTTTCGAAGCAAGAAATTGAACCCTAAACTATTCAAAGTCTTATATGCTAACCTTGTGTATTTTATATTGTTCAAAGTTTCCACAAAAATGGACCCGGCGTGGACAGGTGGTTAGGACGCTCGACTCGCAATCAGAGGGTTGTAGGTTAGAATTCCCATCCCACCAAACATCTTCGCCTTTTCAGCCGTAGGGGCGTTATAATGTGACTTTGGTAAAAAGGTAGCCCAAGAGTTAGAGGTGGGCGATAATGACTAGTTGCCTTCCCTAAATTATGGACAGCTAGCGCAGATAACTTAAAAACATTTTCCGCGCTACAATAAGAATATATGTCAATATTTGTTATGAAAATGATTGAACAATTAAAGATAAATCAAAGTTCTGATTGAAGTTCATTTTGTTTAGGTCTGAGCCTTTATGGTCTTTCGGAATGCGGAGCCATGGGAGATACCAAACTTTGGATCATTGAGTGCCTTGTGTTTAGTGCCCTAATTTCAGCTGTCGATCCAGTGGCCGTGAGTTCCTCAGCTATACGTTAAAAACAAATAGCAACACGTGTAGAAATTAAAAGCAAAGAATTAATACTATTATTTGATCTGGCAGAAATAATAAATTATGCGTAGTTTTTACGTACAATAAAAACATATCGTACGTCAGAATTCTGTGCTTCTTCTTTTTGTTTGTTTGCTTGAAATATTGAGGGATAATTGTATCACAACTTAAAGGTAACATACTTTCAAGAAAAGCGAAATTGTTTTGTGTGAAAGAGCTCAGTGGAATTTTATAGCGAAGATCTTCATGTTGGTTGATTGCGTTTTATTAATGATAAAATGTATATTAGTAACTGTACAACTTTTAGAAGCAAAGATGACGCTGTTTGGTTTACATTTAGTTCAGGACGCACCTTGTGTTTACACAGGCTCTCTTAAGTGCGAAATATTTCTTTGCTGGCCGCACTTCCCAAGTTGTTGAACTCGTTGAATGTAATATTAATGTCACAGTCTTGCAAACAATGGCGAAGAATGACCGACTGATTATATACTGTATTTTGTGCATGCTCTTTGATTCCAGAGCTCAAACAACGTATTGTTGAGCTCACATAGCCAAGGCTACACCTTGGACATTGTAAATTTGCAGATGGAATAAAAGCGATGCGTTTTAGGGATCCTGTCTTTATATATCTGAAATAATAACACAAACGAAATATAAGAACTTACAAAGTTTAAATCTGGGGTAGGATTCCCCGCGGTGGACACAGCAGATAGCCAAATGTGGCTTTGCTCTAAAACAAACAAACGCATAAAACAAATTAAATGTTTCCATACGTAATAAGTCCAGCAAATTTCAAGAATTGTAAACAAAAGAACAAAACCGTTTGATAATTTTGGTGATCTCTAGCAAATTGTTATTTCATTTTACGGCAGTTTTTATGTGTGGTAAAAGTTTATAAATATAGACACAACCAATCTCTGTTTCTAAAAATTAAACACTGAATTATATATATTACACGCTTTAATACATAGGTTATCCAATCTTAATTTATAGAAGTTTGGGTGTCAACAAAGGATACACTATCGTTTTTAAAAAAGAAAAAAATAGACAGGATAACACACGAGTTTATGGCGAAGTTAAAAGTTTTATTAATTCAGAAGTAAAAGAAATACTTAGATTGAATGAGGACTTGAAGAAAAAAAGGATGATGTTAGTTGTAAGGTAGGAAATATCATTTCAATATAACAACATGAGGAAGTTAAACTTAATGATAAGTTTTGTTTTTATCGAGTTAAAATGTAAAGGATGTTCTGTTTTGCATAAAGGAAACATTACACTTTATATGAATAGTGAATATTTAAAATGTTTTATGTTGATTTGAAAGTACACGTTTATTATTTAAGGTTAATTGATGTACCGAGTTGAGTGAAATATAAGACTAAACATCATACTTAGCTTAAAGTTGAAAACAAGACAGATCTTATTAAATGAAGATTATGAACAAATAAATCGCCATTTTCTCTGACAAATAAAGAAAGTAGTGCATTACTTTGTATGGACAGACGACGCTAATGAGTATTCAAAATATAGTTTATGAAAAGACGTTTTTCTTCCTGTTTGTTATATTTGTTGTCTTTTCCAGGTGCTAGCCATCTTTCAAGAAATTGGAGTAAATAAAGTTCTGTATTTTTTGGTGTTTGGAGAATCTTTATTAAACGGTAAGTGTTGTTTTTTCTTCTAGAAGATAGTGATTTCTTAATCAGTACTATGATGCAAACATACTAAGCCTAACACACACACGCCATCTTATTTTTCTGACTTGTTCGAAGAGAAGCGAACAAAAATATCCACGTGTTTGTTCAAATATCAAATAAAGAAAATAAATCAGTGATCCTTTTCAATAAATCCTAGAAGACCACTCATTGTTGGGGTTAGTATAGAATCAATAGTATTTGAAACAATGAACAATTATATGCCTGAATACCCAAAACAGCTAAACAGTTAATTTCAGAAGTACAATAGAGGATGGAAACAGGGCACATTAAAGTATAGTGCCACTCTAGGGCGATTTTTTTTCTTTTGCTACTGCCACCTTAAGTGATCGCTCTAGAAATGAAGCCTTTGTATTAGTTTACGTCATTAATCACATGATCAGTCACATGATCGCTTTTGATTGGTATGTCGATCTGGTGCAGCGGACTCGACGCCCTCGCATTACAGAATTAAATAAAAGCATAATTCATCAAATTTTTGTTGTCGCTTTCGTTTGATGTTCTTAAATTTATCTAGACAACCACCTACTCTGTCTATGCGAAAATGCGGTTCTGAATGGAAAAAACAGGCCTATTGAATGCACGTTGATTTTCAACCGTTTGTAGTTCACTACGAAAATCGCTTGATTTATAAATCTCACAATTTTTTCAAGGAGATAAGTGTAGTTACAAAAGCTCGGGTGCAAAATTAATTTCAACTTGAGAAATAAACCGCGTGTCATTTGATAGAATCTCAAGTTATATATAATCTTAATGGAGCACAAAATTTATAATTATACTTGCGCAAGCTCAGTTTTTAGTATATTTTTAATATAATTTTAGTCAGCCACTCTTCTGTTAATTTATGTGGTTATAACTACCGAATTCATTGTATTTGATGCTAGTTTACGTCAAATATTCTTTCATAAAAAAAAATATTTGTAATTTCGCGCAAAGCTACACGAGGGCTATCTGCGCTAGCCGTCCCTAATTTAGCAGTGTAAGACTTGAGGAAAGGTAGCTAGCCATCACTCTTGAGCTACTCTTTTACCAACGAATAGTGGGACTGACCGTCATATTATAACGCCCCCATGACTGAAAGGGCGAGCATGTTTGGTGTGACGGGGATTCGAACCTGCGACCCGCAGATTACGAGTCGAGCTCCCTAACCACCTGGCCATACCGGTCCTCTAAAAATGCAACACTTTATTTTATTGTCTACAATCAAGTTCCAATATCCTAGTTTGAATATCGTTTTCTGCAGTAATATAAACAGACGTACGTTCTGTAGTATCTAACACTCTCTATAACCAGACTACAAGATAAATTGGTGTTGATTACGAAGAATTACGTGCAAGTGTTAAATATCAGTGTGTCGTACGCGCGCATGTACAGGTCTGTAAAATCTGGAATATTGCCTAGAAGTCGGGGAAAAAATTCTTAGAAAGAGTGTGTACCCTGAATGATAGCATAATATTTTAATCGTATGATCTTATTTAGTTACTTGTACATCTCGCAGCTAAAGTGTTTTTTCTTCGTTTTTTGACACTGAGGGAATAAAGATATATTTTTCTCGTCTATTTTCAGAGTCTTAACTCGACTTAGAGCTTAAAAAAACATGGATTTAATTCTTAGAAACGTTTCTTTTTCTATCGTAAGTTATGATTATCTGAATGTTCATTTAATTCGTAAGGAGCGAAGCTTTATCACGTACTTATAGCGCTCTCAGAAGTAATTACTTGTTCATGATGTGATTTTCTTATTTTCAGACGCCAGCACCGTTGTCTTATACACGATGATGGTGGGTTTGTCTTCATCTTCTCAAGTGACAGTCAATCAGGCTAGTATATAGTTATGTGTTCAAAGAGAAGTGACAGTCAATCAGGCTAGTATATAGTTATGTGTTCAAATAATCTGCTCATGTGAGTGTTGCTTCATGTAGTCCAGTACACTACCATACAATATTTTTAATGAATTTTCATTCCAAATCTTACGAGGTATATGCTCTTTGAGTTTTATTGTTAATAATACTATTACAAAAACGCGTAGAAGCTAGAGGTATAACTTACGTAGGTTGTTTTATGTTTTAATAATAATGTTGTAAGGTAAAACTTATGTAGGTTGTTTTGAGTTTTAATAATAACGTTATAAGGTATAACTTACGAAGATTGTTTTGTGTTTTAATAATAACATTATAAGGTATAACTGAATTTATATCTGAATTTTCTAGAAAACCTTCCCACGGCTATAAATATAACCAACGCGACGCGCCAGGGAGAGTATATATTATTAATTCGCTATAGTCAGTGTGCTATAAACATTGGAAGCTATAACTGTGATTGTTATAACACTTATCAATCGGAAAACTTCAGATATTTGACCAGGAATGTTTATAAATTTCGAAAATTACAAACCATTTAACTTCAGTGGATTCTCATCAGACATTAGTAATATTACGAAAACATTAATTAACTTCAACGATGGAAACTCAGCGCGTGTGGCAAAGGACAAAGCTAGCTAGCTTCCCGGCGAATCGTACCTACATCAACTCGTAATTAACTCAATTTCAGGCTATTTGAAATTCGAATACGTAACATAACTTACGTAGTTTGTTTTGTGTTTTGATAATAACGTTACAAGGTATAACTTACGTAGGTTGTTTTGTGTTTTAATAATAACGTTGTAAGGTATAACTTACGTAGGTTGTTTTGTGTTTTGATAATAACGTTGTAAGGTATAACGTACGTAGGTTGTCTTGTATTTTAATAATAACGTTACAAGGTATAACTTACGTAGGTTGTTTTGTGTTTTAATAATAACGTTGTAAGGTATAACGTACGTAGGTTGTCTTGTATTTTAATAATAACGTTACAAGGTATAACTTACGTAGGTTGTTTTGTGTTTTAGGTTATATTATAAAATACGATAATGTCTTCATTGTATCACTCTTTTCGTGAAACTTTTAACAGATTGGCCTTGGGATCGCCGCTTTTCTCTGCGTCAGTTTGGGTGGTTTGATTATTGGCATTTTCATGGGAATAGTTACTGCTCTTATTACCAAACATACCCAGGAAGTTAGAGGTATGCCCAGAAAATAACCAATTTGTGGTCATGAAGTATTTCAATGCAGATATTTCGTAGCTAAAAATGCTGAACCATTTTTGTTGTAGTCACTAATACATTAAGCAGTGCTTCGCACGCAAAAAAGATGAAATACACGTTTTCCAGAGCAAATACAAAATTTTAAGGGACAGTTGAAAAAACACAATATAACACCTAAAAGAAATGAAGCTTGTCCTCAAAATTTACCGGTGTTGTTGTTGTTATAAAAGCAAAGTCATGTCCTGACGAGAGCAAAGTAAGGTAAAAATGGGCAGCAAATGGTTAGTTTAGAGTGACAATTGTAGAGAAAGCCCTTGAGGGCTAATCTACAAAAGTAACTCAGGTGGAAAAGACAACGTTTTGAAAGAGTTTATTTAGGAGCTGAAGACATAAGACGGAAAGAAGGTTTTCGAAATGTACTTTATATCTGGTCCCCAGTGGCTCAGCTGTACGTTTGAAGGCGTATAACGCTAAAAACTGGGTTTTCATACCCGTAGCTCTGCGCTTAACAACAAACAAAGAATCTCTACAAGTGTCACTCTCAACTAGCCACTTTCTGCTCATCGTACCTTTGTTTGTAAATCGAACAGTCTACTGAACGTATGAAAAACAAAACACGACAACCCGTTTTCTCTTAGAATTTGTCTCTACTTGATGTAAATATTCCTACCTCTGAACATTTTGTCTGGAATTGCACAGACATTTTTCAAGTTTTTACTTGTTTTATGTATTATAAAATACATACCAAAACTGCATCTTTTATGTTCAACTCAATTAAAAATATACACATGTGTGGAAACACAACACCGTGGAAAACATTTTTCACAGTTTCCAAACAATTCATGACAAAAATGTTTAATAATTTGTTGTTGTTGTTTGCTTTTTTTATACATCATTAATATATGTTATACAGACAAACGCAGAAAATATTTTAAAGCTTTTACCAGTGAACTTACGTGTATTGATTAACTAAAATTATATATTTTAAATCTGACAATAAATAGATGATATGTCAAAAACATTAATCTGGACAAGTCCACCTGGATAAAACTTGTTTTCTTTCCTTTTCTGTATTGTAAATTAGTGGTGGAACCCTTGGCCTTGCTGGGTATTGCCTATTTGTCGTATCTCTTAGCTGAGATGATTCACTTCTCTGGAATTATAAGGTAAAAGTGGTTCCTTTCGTTTCAGAAGTAAAATTGTTCATTACCTTTCTCTTTTTTTTAATTCGCCACAAAACAGATATTGGTCAATAATCTTTATTTCATTGTCAGAATACGTGGTCTATGAACCAGTTCAGTCTTATAGATTATATATGTATATATACATTTATGTCTGTAATTATATATGCTATACATTTTTATATATATTAAAAATGTATATTTGTAATACCCATTACTGGTTTGTTATTGAGGTAATATATATATATATTCTCAGTTATGATTAGATTAAATGTATATTTGTAATACCCATTACTGGTTTGTTATTAAGGTAATATATATATATATATTCTCAGTTATGATTAGATTAAATGTATATTTGTAATACCCATTACTGGTTTGTTATTAAGGTAAAATATATATATATTCTCAGTTATGATTAGATTAAATGTATATTTGTAATACCCATTACTGGTTTGTTATTAAGGTAAAA